TAAAATCTTTCTCGAGATCATCAGCATTATAAAAGGTTTGTTTAGTCTCGACCTTTTTGAGTAAGGAAACAACACCTTCAATATTACCACAAAGAATTTTCTCACACAGATCAAGAATTTGATCATTAATAATTCTAGTGACATTAAAGTGATAAGAATCCCAGTTATTTAAAATAACTTCAATGCTTCTTGCATGATCGACAACTTTCTCCTTTTTAGCGTGAAGAAAATTATTAGTCAGTGAGTTCAAAAGAGAAAGGGGGTTCTAAGAGAAAGAGAGTTTTTCTTTAAGGTTTTTCAATTCAATTTTAAGAGGGGATTTTTCTTTGTTAGAGATAGAAAGATCAAGATGTAAATGATCAAACATGTCAGCTTTTTCAATAGAGGAGTAGTTGAAGAAATTTTTTACCTGACACATTGAGGCTGAGTCCCAGTCCTGAGACTTAGAGTCATTTGCAACTTGAGAGAGGTCAACGTCAAAAGTACTGATGTTGTCCCTTGATACGTCAGTATGAGACTCGTCGATTTGAGCCATGAGACACTTACCTTTTGTAACCTCATCATCAGAAAGCCCTTCTCTGTCGAAGGTGACTGATAAGGTATTCATCATCTCTTGTGCAGTTGTGCAGCTTTGAACCAATCGATAGACATGATATGGAAGAGATTTTCCTATAGAAATTCTTGCCTTTACATCACAGTTTATAACTCTTTTCTCTTCCTTTTTGTATCCAGACACAGATTTCTGCTTTAGTCCACTGAAAGATGCATTGTCATATAAAAAGATCGATGCATAAAGATGATGGGACCCTTGTTAATAACATCAAGCATGTCATAGTCCATGATCTCGAGAACATCTATAGCCTTTGATTTCCATGCAGCGAAGTTGTGATCATCAAAAGCAGGGATCTTGCTAACAGCTTACAACTTTGGATTATAGGAGGAAGACATGATAACTTGAATGTATCGTAAACCCGCTCTGATACCAATTGTAGGTTTGTATCGATCGGATACACTCAAGTATAAATAACAAAGAACAAACAAAACAAAGATTAAAAGGAAACAGAAGAACAAGGATGATCACGAAGATACTTTCACTAAGAAAAGGTTCTCACAAAGAGAATAGTCGCACAAAGCGAGGCACCAAGCTCTATTAGGGTTTAACCATAATAGTACAATATATACGATTATAGAAACGGAGATCCCACTATTTTGGAAATGTATACTAATCTATGTAAATGTCTGATCATAATCACTAAGATTACGGATCATATATATATATATATATATATATATATATATATATATATATATATATATATATATATATATAGAGTATAT